TCTCACAGGGTGACGATGTCGGCGTTGGCGGCGCTCACCGCGATGCTCAGCGGGTCCTGCCCGTCCCCGTCCAGGGCGTGCTGGGTGGCCCCGCGCTTCAGGAACAGGCACACCTGCCTGGGGGCACAGAATCCCTCAGGATTCCAGAATTCCCGAATTCCAGACCCGGAGGCGTGGAATTCCAGCTCATCATCGTTATCCGAACTTGCTCCAACCTGCCCTTGGGCACTGCCAGGGACAGGACGGCCACAAATTCTCCGGGAATTCCATCCCATCCTCTCCTCAGCCACAAATTCTCCGGGAATTCCATCCCATCCTCTCCTCAGCCACAAATTCTCCAGGATTTCTATCCCATCCTCTCCCCAGCTACAAATTCTCCAGGATTTCTATCCCAGCCCCTCCTCAGCCACAAATTCTCCAGGATTTCTATCCCATCCTCTCCCCAGCCACAGATTCTCCGGGAATTCCATCCCAGCCCCTCCACAAACACAAATTCTCTGGGAATTCAATCCCAGCTCGTCCAAACCAATAAAAATTCTCTGGGAATTACATCCCCGCCACAAATTCTTTGGGAATTCCATCTCAGCCACAAATTCTCCGGCAATTCTGTCCCAGCTCCCCCTCACCAATAAATCCTCTGACAATTCCATCCCAGCCACAAATTCTCCAGGAATTCCATCTCAGCCATAAATTCTCAGGAATTCCATCCCAGCCACACATTCTCCAGGAATTCCATCCCTGACAGAAATTCTCCAGGAATTCCATCCCAGCCATAAATTCTCCAGCAATTCCATCTCAGACACAAATTCTCAGGAATTCCGTCCCTGACACAAATTTTCTGGGAATTCCATCCCAGCTGCTCCTCACCAATAAATCCTCTGGCAATTCTGTCCCAGCCATAAATTCTCCAGGAATTCCATCCCCACTCCTCCAGACCAATAAATTATCCAGGAATTCCATCCCATTCTCTCCCCAGACATCAATTCTCAGGAATTCCATTCCAACCACCAATTCTCCAGCAATTCCATCCCAGCCTTAAATTCTCAGGAATTCCACCCCAGCCATAAATTCTCCGGGAATTCCATCTCAGCCACAAATTCTCCAGCAATTCCATCCTAGCCATAAATTCTCAGGAATTCCATCCCTGACACAAATTCTCCGGGAATTCCACCAGCCACAAATTCTCCAGCAATTCCATTCCAGACACAAATTCTCAG